CTATCTCAAATTGCACGAAGGTGTTTTCCCCAGGGCAAGACTGAGGTACTGAGGCAAAGGGTCTCAGCGAAACCGCTTAATACTTTTCAACTAATTAGTGTTTTCGTATCGTATTACTTCTTAAAACATTCTTCACTGTTTGTTAACTCTTATTTTTTAAAAAAAGGAGCCCTGAACGCGGGCAGTGGCAGCACACTCGTTTAATCCCAGCACTCGGGAGGCAGAGGCAGACCGGTCTCTGTGAGTTTGGCGCCAGCCTGGTCTCCAGAGTGAGTTCCAAGGACAGCCGCCAAAGCTGTTACACAGAGAAACCCTGTCTTGAAAAACCAAAAAAAAAAAAAGATAAATATTTTTTAAAGAGGAGCACTATAATATAAATTTCAGTACGGGAAGGTCTAGTTTTTCTGCCCTTTGCACCTGGAAAATTTTCCCCATCCCATTTTCTCCAGAATTTAAGGTGTAACTAAGGAATTCTTTAGTTTAATAGCATCTTCAAAAGTGGCTATCCTGAATCATGATAGATCTTGGCACACAGTGAAAAGATAGCATATCCTTGTTAGTCCCTAGGGACAGGAAGTGGACAGATTTCTTTAAATCCCCGAGGCCTGGGTATCACCTGATGATAAGGAGACAAGACAAATACCTCACAATCCTGGGAATTACAAAGACTGACCCTATTCCTTCCACTTTGTCTTAATCTGGTCATGGGAGGGCTGGTTATCTGAGATGCTGACTGCATTAATGGATGGAAAAAGGCCTTCAGCCTGGAGCCTTGTTGCCTAGTCTAAGGAGGAGTGGTGACCAGCAATTGCAGTCACTGCTTGCCTTTTATGGAGGACTGGTACACCTAATTTCCTCTGGAATAAGATTCCCTATATTGAATACACTTATGTAAAATGTGTTTGAATGTAATGTGTGCACATACTTCTGTATGCTTTAAATCATAGATTATTTACATACTATTTCTGCAGTACATCATGTAAGATTTATTTCATCATAAATATTTAGGTACTTTCAAATACAATTATCAGCGGATATTTTAAATTTAAAAAACCCCACAGGCAAGCATCATGATTATAGGATTGCATAGCAAAAACCTTTATTATATCCATTTGTGATATGAATAATTTGTGTGTAAAAAATATAAATGTCACCGGGCGTTGCTGGCGCACCCCTTTAGTCCCAGCACTCGGGAGGCAGAGGCAGGTGGATCTCTGTGAGTTAGAGGACAGTCTGGTCTACAAGAGCTAGTGCCAGGATAGGCTCCAAAGCCACAGAGAAACCCTGTTCATGTATATGTCTTCTGAACACTGTTTAAAAGGAAAATAGATAGATATTCTGTTCCAAACATATTGTAAATATTTTCTAAGAAAAATAAAAACATTTTAAAGAAAATTTTAGTCTGGCAGTAGGAGTGCATGCATTTAATTCCAGCACTCAGGAAGCAGAGGCAGGAGAATCCCTGTGAGTTTAAGGCCAGCTAGCTGGTCTACACAGCAACTTCCAGGACACTCAGAGATACACAGAGAAACCCTGTCTTGTAAAACAAAACAAACAAAAAACTAATGGTATTCTACAAGTAGAAGAATAGTGTGGCTAGAACAGTGATTCCCACCCTTCCTAATGCTGTGTCCCTTTAACACAGTTCCTCAAGTTGATGGTCTAGACAGTGGTTCTCACCCTTCCTAATGCTGTGACCCTTTAATGCAGTTCCTCATGTGGATGGTCTAGACAGTGGTTCCCACCCTTCCTAATGCTGTGACCCTTTAATACAGTTCCTCATGTTGATGGTCTAGACAGTGGTTCCCACCCTTCCCAGTGCTGTGACCCTTTAATACAGTTCCTCATGTCGATGGTCTAGACAGTGGTTCTCAACCTTCCTAATGCTATGACCCTTTAATACAGTTTCTCATGTTGTGGTGACCCCCCAGCATAAAATTATTTCACTGCTACTTTATAACTGCAATTTTGCTACTGTTATGAATTGATGAATTGTAATGTAAATATCTGTATTTTCCTATGATCTTAAATGACTCCTGTGAAAGGGTCATTCGAACCCCTCAACAGGGTAGTGACCCATAGGTTGAGAACCACTGGTCTATAAGCCATTTTTATGATCATTTCTAATATTTTCTTTTTCTCCAACATAAAATTTTTATTATTTGGGAATTGCATAACATGCACCCTGATCACACTCACTTCCCAGTCCTCCCAGGTCTGACTTTTATCCTTATGATCCCCTCCCCCCCAAAAAAAATAACTGAAGAAAGAAAAAAGTCCAATGTGTACTGCTCATATACTTACTGGAGCATGTTCCAACTCCCAGTGGCCATTCCCTTAAAAATAACTGAGTCCTTCCCCAATGCACCCCTGTCAGAAATGGTCAGTTATGGAGAGCTACACTGCAGCATCCTTGTCACAATTTTCAGGAGTTCTCTTTGATGACTTTCTTTCTAAGCTGTTTCTTTCGGGGGGATAGGGATTGTCACAAAAGCCTTCTATGTCCTTCTTTCTCAACTGTGAGTCCATAGTCATCAATACCACTGCAAAAGTAGCTTCTTTACCTTTGTTGTCAGCAGGAGCATGGACCACAGACATCCACATGGTCTCCAGCATCAACATGTGCCACAGGCCTCAGCATAGTCTCCAGCGGCGGTATAGACCATAGACATTAACAACAGCCCTCTGACACAGCACAAGCCATGGACACCGTGACAACATATGTCAAGGACATCAGCATGGCTACTGGAAGCCATGGACTCAGTGGCAGCATAGGCCAAGGACACCAACATGATCTCTGGGTCAACGCAGGCCACAGGCTCCAACATGGTCTCCAGTAGCAGCAGCTCAGCCCATGGACATCAATATAGATTCAGGCAGTAGCACAGATCATGGGGAGATGCACGGCCTTCCATGGTAACAAGAGTCACAGACGTCAACACAGCCTTTGGCTGAGGTAGGGACATGGACTCAGACATGGCCCTTGGCAGTAGTACCGAACACAGACATCAGCATTGCCTCAGGTGGCTACACAGGCCACTCATATCAACCTGCCACCCCCACCCCGCCAGCAGCAGCAAAATTAGTTATTTTTGGATTGTGTGCCAAACAATTGTTTCCAATGTGACATTTTCATACATTTCATTGTTGATGCTTTGCTCATTTTTGTTATTCTCCCTTGTCTTCCCTTCTTTTTCATGCTTTCCCCCTTATACCCTTCAAAGAGTCTTTTGCTTTCATTTACGTGTGCATATGGGAGAAAGCATGCTATTTTGTGTTTAGTGACTCCGACTTTATACTTAACTTCTCCCAAAGGACATATGAGCTTGGCCACTGAGTTAAGAAATCCAGTGGTCCTACCCAAAAGCTCACTGGGAGACAACAGGTAATACATTTCCACATCTGACTGTGATAAATCAGTAGAGAAGAATCACTTTTGTGATCAGGATTCAAGTTTCCCTTCCAATAGGAAGATTCACATGGCACTGCGTAAAAGTTTGAAAATATTATCTTGCATTCAGTAGAATGCTGGTCAGTATATTACAGTGGCAATGGCCTTAGGAAATTTTACGTGAGCTCAATAAAATTTGTTGTTTTAGAATTTATGGTCTTTTACTAGCTGAGTATTCCTCGCAGCCAGGCACCTCATATATCCATGTCTACACTGGGAGGCTCCTGAAATCCCAGCATATGGGTGAATTAACTTGTTTCTATATTTCCCATCATGAGGAGCAGTTTATCTTTCCACAACTGATTGTTTTCTTTCCCAGAATTTTATTCGTCATGTGAGGAAATTTACTATGTTCTTTGCCAGGAGAGATACAAAGCACACATGGTTCATTTCTTTTCTTTCTTTTTTTAAAAAGATTTTATTTATTTATTATGTATACAACATTCTGCTTCCATGTATATCTGCACACCAGAAGAGGGCACCAGATCTCATAACGGATGGTTGTGAGCCACCATGTGGTTGCTGGGAATTGAAATCAGGACCTCTGGAAGAGCAGCCAGTGCTCTTAACCTCTGAGCCATCTCTCGAGCCCACATGGTTCATTTCTAACCTGTGAAATTTATTTGGTTTTAAGATGTCCTGTGAACAATTAGCAATGCAGTTTGACTGTGAGAAGGTACAGGAAGAATGAATAAAGTAGGGCACAAGGTTTCTTTTTATGGATAAAAGGTGGATAATGGGTAGTGAACCTGACAATAAGGATAGGCAAAGAAATAAATATGTATGGCCATTGTGGATAACATGGAGAGCAAGTTCTTTCATCAGAGAGCCACTGTCTCAGCTGTAATTAATGTTCAGTGGGATCTGGGCCTGGATGTGTCCAAACTGCACCTCAGTGTTGCCAATGTGTCAAGTAAGATAGAAGCTGGGCGTTGGTGGCTCACGCCTTTAATCCCAGCACTGGGGAGGCAGAGGCAGGCAGATCTCTGTGAGTCCGAGACCAGCCTGGTCTCCAGAGCGAGTGCCAGGATAGGCTCCAAAGCTACACAGAGAAACCCTGTCTAAAAAGAAAATACAAAAAAAAGGATAGGAATCAGTGATGGAGTGGAAGGACCTGTTGGTAAAATCCAAAGTGAGGAAATGTGGAGTTTACCACAATTGGTTATACTTTTCTACCATCATTGTTATAATTTCTCATCACATCTGCATTGCCAGCATATCTGGAAGAAAGAGGGTGATGGATTGCACGATCCTTTTCCCCTTGGATTCTCTGAAATGCCTTGGTAGATACTTACACGAACAAGACGATGTTGTAAGTGTGGATGCAGTAGAAAGAATTCGGCTCCGTTGTCTTTGGGAACAATTGCCATTACCCCTGTACACATGTTGCAGTAACCAAACCTTTCTAAGCCTTCTTCAGTGTTACTTACAAGGCTAATGAAGTCTGAATTTTAATGCAATAGTTTGGTAGTAAACCAAAATAAATGTTAAATATGACTGTTTTGGAAGCATCCCTGTGGCTGTTGCTGGAAGCATAAACCCACTTTAAGAATGTGCCTAGACCTGAAGAGAGGCGGCTCAGCAGTTAAAAACACATAATGCTCTTAAAGAAGGTCCAAGTTGGGTTCTCAGCACCCAAGTCAGGCAGCTGACAACAGCCTGTAACTCACACTACAGGGGATCTAAAACCCTCTGCTGGCTTCCACAGACAGACACGCATCGTCTGGGCACCGTGGCTTAGTTTGTCACTCCTGACTATGGAAAACAAGGATAATTAAGTTAAAATGCAGTGTTGTTTCTTTGCTATAGCTAGGAACCATCTTTAGTGTGGTTTAGAATAGTCACAATTCTTTAAATTTATTTTGTTTTTGAAAGCATGCGTGTGTGTGTGTGTGTGTGTGTGTGCGCGCGCGCGTGCGCGCGCGCGTGAAAGAATGTTGTTTCAAAGTTTTAGCATCTTTGAAAAGTGGCAGTGAGCACACTCTAGTCCTAGGACTCATATTATTAAACAGCATTTAGCTCAGGTTTGCCTTGGAAGTGTTGTAAGCATTCCTAACCACCCATTAGTTCCTGATCAGTTTTCTAACAAAGGGAGACAGTAGGAGTGAGTGTCTTATTGAATTTGGAACTTCACTCATTGCTTCAATCCATAGATTCTTACTAAGAGCATGTTATATGTTCCACATTGTTCTAAGTCAAATGCACATAGCCGCAGGCCCCCAGAGACTGTAACTTCTGGAACTGCCTGCCTGGGCTTGTTGAACCCTGAAGCATCTTGTCATGTGAGAGGAACAGCAAGAAGTAAGCAGCCCTGGAAAATTCAGGTACCTGTGAACGTGATGTTGCTATGAAGCCCCATGTCTGTGGGATTCAAAGAGAACATTGCCCTTGGATATGAAAGCTGTGTGTGCCAGGGATCTTTCCACCTACCTTAGCTGATGTGAACATTGTTCTTTAGAAGCCCAATCACTTGTTTTTTAATTAATTTTTATTTAAATAAAAAACAATCTTATTTTACATACCAATTCCAGTTCCCTCTCTCACTTGTCCTCCCACCCCACACACACACCATCTCCCCATCCCTCCCCCACACCCACTCCTCAGGGATGGTGAGGGCTCCCATTGGGGGATCTTCAAAGGCTGTCACATCATTTGGGGCAGGATTGAGGCCCTCCCCTCTGTGTCTAGGCTGAGAGAATATCCCTCCATAGGGAATGGAAGCTCAATCACTTGTAATTCAAATCTATTTGAATGTCTTCAAATCTATTTGATGTCTTCCCCAGCCTGAAGGAGAACAGCTTGTACAGGTTAGTGAGATTTCCTTCAACTCTTCCAATGCAAAAGTCCAGAATCCATAGAATAGAGCTTAATGTGGGCATTTTGCCTGGAGAATTCATAAGCCAACTCTGAGGCTCTTTACCATAATTTGAAATGGATCCTTACTATCATGTCATGCTCAAGCAGAGTGTCACACTTGTCTGCCTAAGTGACATGTGGATTCACAGAGCAGGAAGTTGTCTTGTGGGCGACAAACAAGAAAAAATGTGGCATGAAATTCTGAGGCCCTGTTACCACAAAGACCCCAGAAATCTAAAGTCATTTCCAATTGGCATGTTGGAAATATGTGCTGGTGAGCAGGCATATCAGATGATCCTGTGTTCATTTAATTGCATGTTTCGATAAAAAAAGAAAGAAAACAACGATCTTGTGCAGGAGTTAGTAAATTAGGAACTGCAGTCTGTCCCCTGCTGTCTTATAAACAGCTTACTGTCTCCTAAGCCATGCCACGTGGAATTACTTGCACAGGCATACCATGAAATGCCTTCTAATACATTGATCGAAATATCCAATTATCATCCCTGTGGGAAAAGAGATAACCAATGTAAGAGACTAGTAGAAATGAAGCTGTTTCAAATACACCACTCTGTAGAAAGAAATGCCAAGATGGAGAAAACACAAATGTAGCTGGGATTCTGATCTGGTCATGGTTTTTGAACCCCTGACTACCAGAAATCCTGGCCCTCTTTTTCTCTTAGGTAGGCCTTCTGAGATTGACAGTCTGGCATAACTTCCTTCTCAGATTCCCCATCCTATTGGTTTAGGAGTCAAAGCCTTATCTAATAAATAATTTGGGACTTGAGACAGTCCCTAACTCTGACCATGAGCTCAGTTACATGACATGCTGCCTATAACATTGCAATTCTCCGAGTTTTGAGACAAGCAGGCTCCAGCTGCAGCTAGAGGAGATGGGAGGAGCTAGTGCTCCCTGGTTATCTGTGACTCTGATGGATTCTAATCACACCTCATGCTGAATATGGTCCATATTTACTTTCTGAAATCAACAACCAATTTTATACTTTCTTATTTTCCGTCACAAACAATAATAACCACTAGTTGGCAGTTGCTGTTGCTGCTGGTTTTTGTCAATCAATTTTACTATTCTATAACAACATCCTTAACTTTATTATTGTCTGTGACTACTTTAACAAAACAAGGGAAAGGATATGTGTTTGCAGTAGAAACTGCAGGGTTCCAAAATAATTTGTTCTCACTCATGCCACCAGTGAACATGATGCCCCCTTGTGTGCTTTTTCTCTCAGAATTTCAGGAAAATAGATGGAATGAGAAAATGTACTGAGTGAGGTAACGCAGAACAGAAAGTCAAATACCACATGTTCCCCCTCATCTGTGGTTCATAGCTCCAAAAATTCAGATCTGAGTATATAACCTGGAATAACATAAAAATCAGGGAAATTAAAATAGGCCATGAATAGGCTGCTCTAGAGAGGGGAGTAGCATGATACAGGTATGATATGAAGAGGGAAATAGCAAAAATGCACCCAAGGGGCTTTATGTGGGGAAAGGGATAAGGAGACAATAGTGAAGAAGAAGGAGAAAAGAAGATATAAAAAACCACTAAGGGGATGGAGGAAAGGCTCAACAACCTGGCACCCACATGGCATCTTACAGCTGCCCTTGAAATCTAGGTTTATGGGGATGTGATATCCTCTTATGGCTTCTGTGGGGACTGCACACATGTGGTATACAGAAACATCAAAATTATTATTCAAAATTTAAAACCAGTAAGGATGCTTGAAAAGGACATAAAGCATTATTTATACTTACCTAAAATCACATATAACATATAT